CCGGTGGATCAGTGAACAAGTTAAGGACTAATCCATAAAAAAAACAGGACAAGGCAAGAAATCATGCCAATCCTAACCCTCGACAGAATCGGACCGCATCACTGGTTACTATCCTCACAGTACATACATTTGAGGTCCTGAATGGATTGATACACCCAGGTAACCCGTCTTAGCCCTTTTCCCGCGCAATTTTTCGCTACCACAGGTGATACCTCAATAATTCAAATTCATGCTGGAAAAAACTTGGTCCTGGATGAACTGATACAATTAGGTAACTCGACTTTATCTTCCCTCCCTCCCCTTGACTTTCCCTTTTACAGAGTTGTTCCTCTTCAGTGAAACCATTTTCCGCTACCACAGGCAATAACCTCTATGATACAAGTTTGATGTAGGGAAAAACTTGATTTTCATAGTTGAACGGTTCGATTACTCGAAAACTGATCGATTACGTTTGATTTTCAAACAAATGAAAAACCATTGGGGGGAATCGTTCGAGCAGAAAAGTACAAATCATCATCTACCTGATGAAAACCAGCAAGCTTCGGTATAATCGACAATACAGCTCCGGATGATGTTCGACTTTTACGAAGCTTTACCGAATCGGCTGACAATGGATGTCCAGATGGTCCAATTACTAAAACAACATGGGATTAAACAGTATCGGGGTTTTTGATCGGAAAAGAAAAGGATTTTCATAAGTATGATTAATACGAGGCGGTTGATGGATGTATCGAATGTGCGGTGTCCTGTTGTGACAGAAGAATAATGTTTCAATGACTTCGTTTTCATTACTGCACTTGTTTTTACTTTCATTATCGATTGATCTCACGGCTCTCAATCTCACTCGGTTCTTTCGGATATGAAAATTTACCTNTAGACACATAGGAACAAGTAGAACAGTTTATTGATTGGTTAGGTCAAAAAATAGTCGTGGCACTTGCACTTTATCCAAGGTCAAAACACTTGATTTGAGAGATGGAAAATCCTCAAAGCACTTAAAGCTTCACAAAAAAAGACATCGTGACGCCAATCAATCCATAGAATGCGCCACGCACACGCATCCGGGTGTAGAACGATAAAGATTGATATACCGGCCAGCTCTGATATAACGATGATATCTGGACACCCATTAAACCCATTGGGTAGCATGATCATGAAAACACGAATTTTTGGGCAAAATTATTGTTGAAATCCCACTACTCTGTAATATTTCGCTAGCCTTCTGAGGAGATTCACCTGTCTAAGATCACGCAAAGCACATCCACTGCTCCGGAGATCAAGCTCAGAAGAATGAAAGAAAATTTCATCTTTGTTTCCCATGATTTTCTAAAAAGTTGAAGAAAACGGCATGACGGCTGATTTGCAATCGTTAAATTGATCAGATATGATCCAAGTCCTTCAAGACTTCAAAAAACATGGGAAGACATGGCGCATCCTAGATGAAATGGCCACTACTGGGTAGCTTCATCTTGTCAATTCATTAGATTTCCATTGTAATGTCTTATGAGCACTTGACATTGAGGGGGAAGTAAATGTCAAATTGTTGGTGGACTCTGTAACTAAAAATTGAGTAGTAAGGAGTTCTTTCTGCGACAACTCGTCCATTGCCCTTTGTGAGTGCACATTTGAAAATATGTAATTCTACTATCCGTCAGTATGAAGGGATTCCAGCTTATAGCAGAAATACAGTGATCGAGACTATTTTCGAAATTTTCCAATTAAGACTTCATCAAAAATTCTACTTTTATCAATCTTGCACTGGCCCCTGAAAGTGGACTTATTGTCATACTATACCCAACCCGACCGACCAATGCACAAATTATTATCTACTACTAAATAAGCTGGGCAGAAAAAGATCCGTTCTGCTCAAAAGATATGCGATTCTATAAATGACTTCTAGGTATGGCACACGAATTGGGCAAGTTTTTCCTTTTTTTTTTTCTCGAGGAATTTGAAAAATGAAAAGGAAGGTGTCCGAAGTAATTTTAGAAGAGACAGACAAGTTCATTCCCTTCTTCGGGCAAGAAATCTTTCTAATGGCATTCCAAAGATCAAAGTCAACACGATATCTACGCAGTTCAAAGCTTCGGTTACCGGTGGGCCCAACATGTACCATGGAAGCCCGAATGTGTTACAGGCCCCTTGAGCTGTACGAGTTTTAACGGAATATAATTTGCATCAAGTTCTTTCGACACAAAGTTGCTTAGAGGAAAACTGTAAATCTGTAAACTCGTTCATATCACTCACAAGTTTTTAAAATTTCTTCGACGGCTCCTAAGTGGACATGACACGAGTTCAGATAGAAGATACCAAAATAAAAACGACGTTGAACATTTAGAGGAGATGATTTACAGTAATTGTGGACGTTCAGTTTTGATGTTCATTAGGTAGAGTCAAGGTATGTACGGCAAAAACTACTTTTACTGCATAGTTCACAAGACCTCCCATTGATCAGGCATGAGGAATGCCCCGAGAATTCCATGTCCGACAAGAAACAGCACCACCCTCGACGTCGTCAATCGTTTTAGAACCCTTAGACTACACCGGTAACTATTCAAAAGTTATCCGGACAGTGATTTATGCCACTGACTCTACAAGTTTTGTCTACTCAATTCACCGTCTTGCTGCATTTTTTTCTGGGCAGTCAATGGGGGAATACTATTTTTAGTACTAGTAAAGACCCAAGTGCGATAAAAACGTAGCTGTCTCATACTTACAAAACAANTGCGTCAACCTCAATGGAGTGTTATGGCGATGTTGTGAGTCACACAGTTGATGGCAATGGGGGACGGTAGTAGTCGATTCGTTCTCCCAGCAGCAGCAGCTATTCACAGTTCCCCCACTTTGCCGATGATAAATGGCGCATTCCATTGTTTTGTTCGGTCCTACAGTCTTCTACTAAACGGAAATTGTCCCACTCCCCTCGTAGCATAACTAGGGGATCGATAGTAATTAAATATAGTAAATTTACAAATCTTTTTTTTTCTACACATAGAACCATGCACTAGAGGAACACATTAAAGACCCTAGGACCTGAAAATCAAACTTAGTCACCTACTCGATATGGGCCACAAAGTAGTAGTCATAGCTGTACTGAAAATGAAACTGCTAAGGAAGAGAGCAGTTGCTATCGAACAAATCAATTTCGGAATGCGCCATGCACTAGAGGAACAGTTGAAATCATAGCGACCGTGAAGAAGTATTGGCCTATAACTTAGGTAACGGCGTTCAGTTATGCCGATGTTCAAGTCAGAGCCCTGATCCTCCCACGTTTGCTACCAAATGGCTGAGATCAAAGAAAAACCCGGTGCACCTGAGGAACTGAACCTTGTATCGCGCATATGATAGCGCCGCCTCGGGACGCTACACCATTCAGTACACAGGAATAGCAAAAAATGTTGGACTTTGGAAACATTTCAATGCAATTGAATTATGTATTTTTTCATCCCTACTTATAATTGCTCTCGACCTTCTTGCTAGGAGTTCGAAGAGAAGATGATGGAATTGAAACTTCTCAAAGAGAAAATGAAACAAAAAAAAAAATGAAAAAAATGAAGAAAAAATGAATTGCAAAAGAAAATGCATGACGAGTACCGGCGAAAAAAAAGCTAAATACCTAATAATACAATTATTTCATTCTAAACACTTGTATTGAACAACTCTCCTCTGTTCAGGTACAAAACGAACCAGTAATCGGTCAAATATGTTTTGTTTTCCTCGTGCTTAATAAATAGTCTATTTTTTTCGGTGAAAAACAGCATTTAATGAGTAATGTTACATATCTGTTGTTTTTTGAGAAAAACAATATTTCACAATGTGGTTCATATTTCATATGAAGTGTGGCATCCCCGAAGCTCAGACAAACACCTGAACGACCACAATACTGATCGACTGGGGTGTGGTGCTGCAGGAACGAAATTGACGCGTCGCGGCGAGAGGGATGCCGCGCGCGAACGAATATGGCAGAATGCAGCAGCATGTAAGAAATACAGCAGCAAAGGATGTAACAGTGGACTCATGGCTAAAATAAGGATCGCATATCGATAGATGTATGAAGAACCCTAGAGCTGTAATAACGGCGAACAAATGGTCCGCGACAGCCGCGTGCGGCGAATCGATTACACAAAACAGTTCCTACTGCCCGTCTCCCGATCGACTGACTTTCAGAATTCTATGCGGACCCTGGGATAAAACCCCCTGGGCATCTCAAATAAAAAAATTCATCGGACAACCCTGACAAGTAACCAGGATGAAGGTAAAAACTTTACTGGCTTAGAAAGCTGCTGAGCAACGAGAGCAGTGGTGATACCGGCCGAGTCCATCACTGACCAGAAAAGGAAGGAGAGTTTCTGATTGGGAAAATATCGATACTGGAATGGTAAAAATCGATAATATAACATAAATTGAGCGCTTGCAGTCAGATTTTGTCTCGGTTTGTCAGAGTAGCACACAAAGCATCGACAAAAACTGGCGTCAATACCGATGAGTCAAGTGGCCCAACTTGCCTCGCAGCAGAGTTACACGGTCCCATATGGTTGCTAAAACGATGGGAAAATGTGGTTGAGTTGTTGGAAAAGAACAATTCACATCCACAAAAACGAAAATTCCAGCTCCGGCTCGAAGACCGATATCGTTCGCTAGCCACCTACCCAAAACAGCACTTTCTTGGCATTCTTGGCATGAATATAGGTAGTTGTGACCCGAGCACGCTTAGAAGATGAACCCTTTTGCCCGGTTTGGAGAAACTGTAGATGGTTTGTGAATTGCTCTCAAGTGACTTTTGAGAATTTAAAGTAATTCAGACGACTGGAGAAAATTTAACTTTTCCTCTAGGCAAAGGATTTCCCGAAGATTCGATTGGTTCCTCTGAAGGAAAAGAAGGAAAGAAGGAAGGAAAGAAAAAAGAAGGATAACGGTGGTAAACAACGGAGTCGAGAAGCTGCCCAAATGAGTGCTAACATCCTGTGCTCATCCCTAAAGTAACAAACTCTCCTACGTAAAGATCTTCTGAAAGTCGCCGAATTGAATGGAGACAAGGAAGTGGGATGGGAAGGAGGCTCCTGAAAGGACCAAGTAGGACATCCAATCCGAAACCCGTTGGTCAGCGAGTAACCCTTCTTCGAATGACTCGTGGTCCTCAAACAAGAGCTGACCAGGGCGAACGCGAAGGGCGTCTCCGGTCAGTGATCAAAAAGTGTTCATGAATCATCGCGATCAACTGTAAAGGGCAATCATGGCAACACCAGAGTTCAGCAAATACCATGTAAGAGCCTGGTGTCTAGTAAAAACGCGAAGTTTGATTCAGCAGTAACAATTCAAAGGCACAAGGGACGGTAAGCTCGGCTCATTCTGACTAGTAACACCGTAGATTGGCCACCCAGCTTTTTATAGGCACCTGCAAAGCTTTTTCGAGTCCTATCAGCTTTTTATCGAAAATGGTATAAATTACCCCAAGCAACAACAAGTAGTGTGAGCTTAACTCTGCAAAAACTCTACTGCCGAGCTTGCTTTGTTCCCTGCTCAAAAACCACTGAACCCACACTGTCCGAGGAAGATAATGGGTGGTCCTTAGCGTGTCCTCTTTTTATGGTACTGTTATGCAAGTTTTATTTTTCAAAAACAATTCCAGTCACCCTAAGAGACTGCAGGTGACTCCGCCGGATGGTTTCGATCACGTGCTCTTGGTGTCCCTAAGTCAAACATTCGCAGGGCACAAGTTGTTTTGAGCCCCATATCGCCAAAAATGTCAAAGGATTAGGGGCCTAGTTAACGGCTCAACTCTTGAGCTCGTCTCAAAGTACCCCTAGTCAGGTGGGAGGAAAGCTCGGATAACGCCAGTCGTTCACTCAAGGAAAGTGGGCATACGATTGATAGTAGAGGTTAGCTTGCCCGTGTTCTCCCAGCCCTTATATGACCCCATAGGCTCAAGCTTCTGTATAAAAAGTCGTGTAATGGGGCTTGTCAAGCTCATCAGAAACTTATACTACTTTATCAGGTACCTGTACCTACGACCTATGCTTCTGAAGGCACGTCTGGGCAGATGAATAGCAGGTACGCACTGGCGAGTACTACGGTACCCCAGCCCTTTCTCCTAACTCATCTGGGCTTTTGGCCGGAATCCAAAACATGTAGGCATCCCAATTCATGTGAAGAATTACATTACTTTATAAACACTACTAAAAGCACGAATTTTCAAAATTTAGTAGAGCAGTTCCTTCTGTAACTCTCTTTGCAGTTACCAGTTAAAACTTCATATCGGATGACACATCTGAGGGTCTAAAAGATAGCCGACCGGAATGAAAACAACTGTACAGTTGATATTTTTGAACAGCAAGCACTTGAATGAGTGAGTCATCTTGAAAGCAGCTAGCAATCAAGCCGTCACCACTCTCATCAAAACATACCAAACGGAAATAATTGATTACCAAGCTAAAATTTTATGAAAAGAAAACATTTAATGACTAATAACCTCGAAATAGAAGTCAATGCTTGAAAACAGTTTTCCTAAATAGTAAAACAGAGCCTTGAAGGGCTGTTGGAAAATTTTCAGAGAAAAAAAAGAATTTTACAACAAAAATTGAGGATAAAAACCATTCAAACATACCTCTGACACCAAGTTCTTCTACTCGTACCTCAGCTCCATCAGCAAATGCCAAATCGAGGTTCACCTTCAAACGGAAACGAGTCATTGAAGAAAATGAATCGAAAACAGCTTGGAACACGACGTCCCGCCTCTTCTCATTGACCGCCATGAGGCCACATGTGATACTACTTAGATTACTCTGGTTGAACTTCTTAAGCTTAACCATTTTGTAAAGTTATTGCTGGAAGAGTGAAGAACCGTTTGTGCACTGTCACAGTACCACAGGCATGGCGCACTTTTTCTACGGATTTTTTTATTCCAATTTTTTCCCGCCCCCGCCAACTTCGACTGGGAAGAGGGGAAGGAAAATGAAGGGAGGAACGATTGGGACGAAGAAATAGACTCCTATCCACTAGAGTCTTCTCCTATTCCTTCCTTTTTACCCGGATCGTACAAGCACACTGTTGGGGCTCGTTGCCATAGACCCTGTGCCACAAACCTGTTTGCACTGGATACAAAAAGCTTATAATGTCGGGTCCCATTACTCAATCCCTATCCTCCCTTGATATCGCGATCATCCCCTCCAAGCCCATACTCCAGATGTTTGGGATTCATGTGCAGAGGTTCAACTAGGGCTGGTGAGATTACTTGTTAAACCTTAAGTTTCGGGACTGCCCATGTTTTTGCAAGCTGATTATTTTACAAACTATATGTTCCAATTAATTTCTTTTTTCTTTTTTGAAATCTGAACTGAACTCTGAAAAATAAAATTCTAACGCCAGTGTCCACGGCTCCAAATAAGGCAGGAATTGGAGGGTATCCCTGAAGACAGGGACGAAAATAACCGGGTAAATAAAGAGTAATCAAAGTGTAGTTGATCGATCAAGCCGCATCCGCCTTTTCACATAAAACTTAACTCAGTTGCGTTGTGGGAGCCTNGTGAGGTGAAAATTTTATAAAGTCTACAAACTATGTACTCGGCCCACTCGAAGTTCCAATACCAATTCGATGCTTAAACCAGTTTTTTAGCCTCTTTCAGAATCAGTTTTTTCGTTTATTTCAGACTTTTTCTCCTATAATAACACTTTATTTGGGTTGCACGGTTCACTAGAAAACTAGAAACAAATTTTTGACTTAATGAACAACGTCTTTGTCAAATTATCAAACGATCATGGTAGTTTGATAAAATAATAATTACCTGTTGATTAGTGAAGCACTGAGTCGTCGGGAAATTTGGCTGCGGTCCAACAGCACACAGAGCCGCTGCCAAGGCCATAATACCTGGAATTTCGAAAGTATATTTTCAATCTCAGCGAAGATTTCACTGAAACATTACTACCTTGTACAATCTTGCCTTCATTAATGCGTAAAATTTTGTGACTAACCGGACTACGGTTAACCCTCACAAGTAGCTACTAGTTTTCGGGAATTCTGAGATGTAGTAAAGGCTAAATAGTCAACTACAAATAAGGTTGAGTGTCCAAAGTCTTTGAAGGACCCTCATTGTCAATGGTCAGTACACTCTTAAAGGCACAGTTCATGATAACCTTGAGTGACCCTTTTTAGGTTGAAGTGCGAAAATGTTGATGTAGAGGAGTACATCGGCGGCGAAGAAAGCGAGAAAATCCGCCTATTTCAAGCTTTTTGAGCATAGTGGAAGTGGAGGTTGTACGAGATCACCGCGACAGGAGTGGCATGTAAGGGGTTTTTGGACGAGATTCAACTTGCTCCTATTGTGCAAAGAGCTGACTACATCAAACCATAACTGTCCAGATTTGCCTTTCACTGTCGCTATTGGTCATAATATATTGGTTGAACTTCCCGCATTGGTTCCCTTATTAGTAGTGCAGACTCTACAAAGCCGATGAAACTCGTCCACTAGGGATGTGGTATCCACACGATACAATCTCTGGTTCCTTATTGTGCCCTATCCAAGACGTTTCTCGCCCTTATAACGACAGGTATGGTATAAGGGGGAGCCTCCAATTCATATTGTAGGGAAATTTCATGAGCCATTTTTATCGTGAACTGTGCCTATAAGCTTTCTATCACCTTTGAGGGGAAAAGTTCGTAAGGGTTACGCTGGAACTCATCGAGCTTCGGTGCAGTTTTACAGGGTGCCTCAAGCACCCCCTACCCTTCCGCTCTTCCAGCTAACTTCAGATTTTCGATGACGATGAATAATCAAAGAGACCGTCTCACTACAAGGGAATATTCCCAGAAATACCTATTTTCTTTGATTTCAGTCTTGACCTTTTTACCTTTTTCACATAATTTATAAGCACACTGAAGAAAATTTATTATATCACGCGCTAAGTGGTAAAAGAGCTGATATTAAAAGGACTAAGCAGTTATTTATAGAAAAAAAGATGACCAACCCAAATGTTCTCCATGCGGATCAGCAAGATCTTCGGCTCCAACCAGAGATCCAACACCTATTTCAGATGCTGCATCGAGGGCTGTAAAATGACAAACTTTAATTTTGGCGATTTCACTACCAAAACCACTAGACTACTTTACTTAGCAGTAACATTTCTCACAACAAATACCGATCATCTAACAGCACCTAGAGCTCAAGGTAACTCAAAACAGCGAGTTGGTTACAATCACGGCTACTTCTCTTTCTCACAAACATCCGTCGCTCTTGTTAATTTCCCTTTACTTCCTTCCTAAACTGTTTTTTTCCTCTTTTTACATTATTATGTTACCCAGTTAGCAGTATCCGCTTCGCACTTACCCATCAAATTTGGCAAACCCATGTTGCAGAAGCCGATCAACAAAAGATCGAGGAGTTGGGCTGGACTCTTTCTACCCCGTCTGAAACATATGGGTTCAGGTATGGCCCCTTCAACCTCTTCGGAAACTGCTTGATTCGACCAACGTAGTTTTGGAGGGGAACGAACTCGAAAAAGTTCGTCCAAGTCAGAAATCGGGTGCGGAGCTGCCTCGCCAAGCAGCAGGCCGACTTCTCCAAAAACGGATCTCGATTTGAATTACCATGAAAGCGGACTTTTTGAGTGGCCAACTTAATACTTCATTTAATTAATTATCCTCTTTCCGTGCCAGTTCATCCAATCCTTAAGTAATAAACGTGTGAACCAATAACCAAAAATAATAACGAAATAAACTGATAAACAAGGGAAAGGGGCAAAATTCTTCACGTTCCTGCATCCTCATGATCGAAATGGCTTTTTCTGGTGACATTTCGAACCCAGATGGGACAGAACCCACATTTTGCCTACACAAGAAATTGTAACACTAAGGAGCCGAGATAACTCAATACCACCTACTCGCTTGCAAAGAATTATAGTGCTGTAAAGGAGTACTATTTCGTTATTTCAATTTTCGTGAAGATTAGGTTGTAAGAAAGTCATAAATGGCTGTTTCCCTCGTAGAATTCCTCCCATGAAGTCCTTCCCCAGTCTTTCCACGACCACTCCTACACACCTAACTCCCGAAATGTCTTCGACCAGGGGGGCGGGGAGGGC